ATCAGATTGCTGGATTTACGTCCAAGTGACAACACTGAGTGTACGTACTACGGAATACCGCATGCCAAGCATTTTTTTCCTACGTGAGGCAATTACATGTAATTATTGCAAAACATTACACAAGACGTTATTCTATATATTAATCGGTTTTTCTACCTTTACAAAAGAAAAAGAAAATGTCTGAAGAAAAAGAAAACACTCAACGTCCGACAACCAAACGGGCACAAACTGTGTATGATTCGCTATATTTCTGTGAACGAAAATTTCGCCTGGGTCCATTTGAACGACTATTTCAGCGGGTACTCGAGAATCCGAGCAACCTTAAATGTGAACAAATTGACTTGCTTAATATTTGGTAGAAATAATCAGAATAAGTAAATAAAATACTTACCAAACCATACAATTTTTGGTTTTTGTGCTGCAGCCATTTTCTCAAAGTAGCTAGGACGATGCTTCGAAATGAAATCTGCCCATCTTTTATTGTTTGCTAAAAGTCCCTCTAAATCTTCTCCAAGTTCATCAAAGGTTCCCGTTAAAGGCTTAAAGTATGGAATTGGTGAAACTGATGAGTTGCCAAATCCTATATATATTAGTAATGCTAGTAAGGCTCATTAATCAATGAACGACATTTTTCAGTACCAAAAAGTTTTTACAGCTAGACAAATTTTTTGAAGTGCCACCATTACATGGCGGTGAAAGTCTATATTTGAACTTAACTTTTGCGTTCCTTCACGTGATCAAAACCTTTTTAGATTTTAAAAAATTTCAACACTTCCTTTTAACTGACCCGTATTACAATAAAGTAATTTTATTTCAAAGTCTTGACGATTACGGTCCCCGGCGAAAGTAATGACGGACGTGTTTTTTGCTTATATTTTAATGAGAAATTTTTCAAAACTCATGAAAATTTGTAGATATATTCTTTAGGATGTTAGGAACAAGATTTCTTAATATCACAAAGCATATTAGCATAATAATATTTTGCGGAATTTGGTGTCAAATATGACGAATTTAAATTTTTAACCTCTAAGAATAAAAAAAATATATTTTATGACATAAAGAATATATTTGTAATTTAAAAAATTTTTAGTTCATTTTTATTTAATAAATATCATTCAAAGAAGGCTTTATTTTTTTTTAATAAACTATAATATAATATAGTAAAAATGAGATTTTTGTTATGGTTTATTAAACAATTCATAAAAATAATATCTTTTTTTAATGATATTTATTAAATAAAATGAACTAAATTTTTTAAATTAAAAATATATTTTCATAAAATTCTTTTCTAAATTGCTTATTAAAAATACATAATATCAAAAATTTTAATTCATTACTTTTGATACCAAATTCCATAAAAAATTATTATGTTAATATGCTTTGTGATATTAAGAAACTTGTTTCTAATATCCTAAAAAATATGTGAAATGACTAAAAAGTAATGCAAATTTAATGATTAATGTTATTATATATTTTTAACTAATTGTAAACTTAGCTAATTAATATGAGTAAGAATTGGAAGAGAAAGAAAAAATACTAAAAGAAATATAGTTACTTTATATAATCTTTAAAATATATGTTAAAAAAGAAAAAAGAAATATTTAGATATTTAAAAAATATTTGTTTTATTATATTATTTATTTTCAAGTTTTTATATATTGAATCAAAGCTTAATTACAATTTGTATATATATATTTTTACAAATACTAATATAATATTTTGAAAACAAAAAAAATATAAAAGATAAATATACTAATTAAAATAGAATTTTAATTTACTAAATATAGAAAGAAAAAAATAGAGGAGAAAAATAAATAAATAAATATATACTTCAAAAATTCATAATTGACTAAAATATATTTATTAAACTAAATAAATTAATTAAAAATTGAAAAATAAATAAATAAAAAAATAAATAATAAAATAAGTTAATAATATAAAAAATATAAAAATAAAAAAATAAATAATAAAATAAGTTAATAATATAAAAAATATAAAAATATAAAGAAAAAATATAAATACAAATATAAATATAAATATAAATATAAATATAAATATAAATATAAATATAAATATAAATATAAATATAAATAAAAATAAAAACAATAGAAAATAGATAAATATAATAATTATTAATATATAAGATAATTAAAAAAATATTTAAACTTTTTGTATAATTTTTATAATATAATTGTACTAATATATTTAATTAAACAAGATTATAATTTTCTAAAATTGTCATCTTGAATTAATTTAAAATAAAAAACTTGATATATTTTGATTTGTTTATTTTCAAAAAACTTTTACTTAAAGTCATTTATCAAAAATAAATAGAAAATTTTATTTGTAAACATCAATAATATTATATTATTATTAAATTAAATAATGATATTTCTATTACTAATTAGAATTCTGAAAAAAAATTTTAATCTAATTCAGTTTGAGCTTAAATCAAATTCAAACCTAACTAAAAGTTTAGTTCAAAAATTTGAATCCAATTAAAAATCTGATTTGAGTTCAAGTAAATATTTAATAATATTCTAATTAAACTTATAAATTATAACTAAAACTACAAATTAATATAAAATAATTAATATTTAAAATGAATATTCAAAAGTTATATAAATTTAAAAAGCAAAATACATGTTATATTGATATATATATATTAATATATCAAGATATATTGAGATTTATAAATTATAACATCTTTGAGTGTGTCAAGAATTATAATATATGACACATACCTAAGTAGTCATAATTTAAACTAAGTGGAAATAATATAATTATATTATTTTCACTATTGCAAAAAGATAAGACAATAAATTTAAATACAATTTACTACTGGATTAAAGTATTCATAAATAACAAAACATTAAAGATAAAGCATATTTTAAATAATCTTATGAAGTTATTACTCTAATAATAATTGTGATAATTGAGCAATTTATTAATAAAGATTTTCATATAGTTACATGAAAACTAGTAGAAAAAACTGGTATGTCCAAAGAGAGAATTGATCATATTCTTTACAAAGAGCTTAGCATGAGAAAGCTTTGCAAAAAATAGATTTCACACATATTAACAAAAAAAATAAGCAAATAATAAAAAATGAATACATTTTTATGCAATTTCAACTAAGAAAGCAAACAAAGTTTAGTTTAAAACTGAAAAGAACAGGTTTCAAATTGCAAGAACAGAAAAAAATAGCAAAAATGCATGTTTTGCATTTTTTTTTTGCTAAAGGCATTGTGACTAGAATAGTGATACCAAAAGATATTACTGTTACTGGAAATCTCTATGCTGATAATATTTTGCCAGAAGTTTTTCAAACTTCAAGAAAATATTGGAAAGAAACACTGTTTGAGATGTCATGCTTCACTATGACAATGCTGCACCATATATCTCAAAAAAAGTTACTAAGTACTTGAAACAAGAAAGAGTTAATATTCTTTCTCACTCATCCTACAGTCCTGACTTGGTTCATATGAATTTTTTCTATTCCCTAAACTCAAAAAAGAACTCAAAAATAAGAAGTATAACAAAGTGGAAAATCTTGCACGAGCTATTCAGGTAATTATTTCTAGTATCACAAAAGAGAAGTATTACAGATCTTTTGAGAATTGGTAGAGAAGGCTGTAACTTTGTATAGACAGAGATGGTCACTACTTTGAAGAAATGAAATAGTTTGTTCTGAAGTTACAACATGACTTTCAAAAATAAAAGCATTTTCGCATTACTTTTCAGCCGCTCCACGTAGCTACAAATTTTCATGACTTTTGAAAAATTCCTCATTAAGATATAAGCAAAAAACACGTCTGTCATTACTTTCGCCAGGAACTATACTTTTTTAATATCTTTGTTATGTGCCTTTGTTATTTTAAAGTCAAAAATTGTTTTCTTATTTAAAAACTAAAAAACTCTTGTCCTTCTCGAGAGGTGAAAGGTTTGGTTAATATACATTTTTAGAACTGATACATTCAGATTTTTTATTATGACCAACTTCTCAATTCTATTTTACAAGGTTTTTATTTTGAACATGAGAATATTACATAAAAATAATAATTAAACTTTTATGACAGTGTATTATTTGTGTATTGTTACAAGTTTGTTCACTAATTGTTAAATTAGCTTACAAACGAGAACCTGGGTTGGGAGAGGGTATAAACTGA